TATATATAACAATTTTGTTTGCCGTTTTAGTGGACGGTGCGAAAACACGAAGCCATTGCTTTGGAGCAGCGCGCGAGTTTGTTTGCAAGGAGCTAGCGGACGAGCGCGCTCTGTCAGAGGCTCGCAAAGAGGCTGCAGAAGCCAACGAGGCCAGAACGGTAGAAAGATTAAAGTTGCAATTCCGGAATGGGTCAAATGTATTGGCAAATGGTTGTGGTTGATGAGAAAGAACACTGTAGCTGCAGCGCTCGAATGTTTATTCCTTTTTCACTTGCGCACCGGAAGTATATAGAACCGAAGTCGGCCGACGCCCGAACATTTAAGACTCTTTTGCTTTGATGCTCCTTCAGGAAGAGCTGCGGGCCTTCGGGCCTGGTGGGGCAAATACGCTCCGAGCAGCCCCACCAGCAGCGCGCACGCGTCCGACATGAACTCGGACTAAAAAGCTGGCGCGGTCTACAACGCTGCAGTTTGTGTTTCCAGATGCCGGTGGGGGTCCGGGCAAAACCCCTCCCCAACAGCAACCCGGGGCCGCGGCGTGGGACACCGCGGCCGCATCCCTCTCATTTCCGTGGGGGGGGGGGGCCGATCGTCCCGACCTGGGGCATGGTAGTTGCCCCAGGCCAAAGATCGGGAGAGCCGGTGTTGCCCAGACACACAGATGCAGACAGAGACGGACGGCAGGGAGACAGACAGAGACACACACACACACACAGAAGACATTCACAGCAAACAGGATGCAGAAAACAAACAACCAACCTTTTCAACACACGGTACGTCGACAACCGGTACATCCTCATCAATGAGCAATTCCGACAATCACTACCCATCACTACACTTGCCCATCCAGATTTTTACGGAAATCCAGTTGAAATCAAGACTGTAGAAGACCATCATCTCTTGGGCTTTCACATCAACCCACTGACAAGAACCGTCACTTTCCAACTCCCTACCCTACCTATCCCTGGCAGATGCTGGAAGCCACCGGCTCCGCCTATCAGGCCTACAATCCAGGCATCACACACTGCGACAATACTCATACCCCTCACACATGGCTGAACTCACTTCACAGGCATTGGCATTGGTACAGTTATACGTGACAAAAGGTCACTCCATGGAACATTGCGCTGCAGCGCTGCGGCCTTCCAGAAAAGAACGCTTACATCGAGTGTTGCTAGCTGCGCCGCTTCGGCTTCTTGTGTGTGTCAACCCCCGTTCCAAGGGACACTAACCTACTTTTCTCTATACTACTTGGCTGCGCTTGATCGTGTACAGTTGTAGCAAGGCAGAGAGTCTACCACCAACGAAGACGCTCTCTAAGCCTTGGTGATACTGGGACTGATCATCCCAGCGTACCTGCACAATTTTAACTGATTCTCCCTGTTTCACCTATGTTCAAACATTCTGTTCGACCGACTCAGCAATTTCCTTTAGTCAAGGTCTAAACTGCAGTAACACTAAAGTGCTAATGCTCACCGCGCATTCTCTGAAGCTAAGCTCCGTGGAGCACTCATCTTAAGTGTGTGTGCTGTTGCATTGGACATTGGATACCCATGTCCTTGTGTGGGAGGCTAGGGGTCCAGCTCGGAATGCGCAAAACCTCATGAACACATCCCCTGACTTGGTTCTCGAAGGTGTGTCTCATTTTGTTCCCCATCAGACTTGGTCAGTCATGGGATTTGTCCGATAATGGATTGGATGCCTTCATAAGAGTACAAGTTGGGGGAATGAAGTGATGACGAAGATCCGAGGAAAGATCATAACTTCACAACTTCGAAGTATTCAGGACATGCGTTGGTTTCTCGATTTCGGTGTCCCTCGAAACCGGTGACCCTCGAACCTCTGCTACGCCAACGTTGAGCTTGCCGCTGCGTGGTGAGCTGGCAAGGTTAAAGAAGGTGGACTTCATTGAGCTTGACATCCAGTGTGGAGAATTTGAGGCTGGGAGGGGTATGTCCGACCCACCAAAGAAGGCGGCCCACCAAAGAAGGCGGATAGGCAGTTTTCAATGGAGATAGAGTTGGACATTGGACATGTCTGTTTCTCCTTGTTTGTCAAAGCGACCGGTTGGCTGCCGTGGCGCGGGTTATTCAGGCACCGCCCCTTGGAGCTGCGAGTCATGTTTGGGGTCGGTTGTGCGGGGGTTGATTTGGTGTGTCGGGTTCAGAGGCTGAACAGGAGACAGAACTCATGGGAAACCAGTGGAAGACCCTTGGAAACTCAAGTCCAGTGGAAGACCTTGGACTGTCCTTGGAAGACGTCTGGAAGATTGAAATCTGGTGTCTCACTCCCTGAAGGAAGAATGTCTTGGAGAGTAAAATCCAATGATCCACTTGTCGAGGAGGGTGCTTCACCTATATAACCATCATAGAATCTATAGAAGAAACCAAAATCCAGCACACATCCAAGGTTTCAGGGTACAATTGTCTAATGTCCTTCAATTACCTGTTGTGTGCTCTATGTGAGTATAAAACCAATAGAACATGTCGTACAACAATTAAACTTTGAGAACATGATGGGCAGCTCCCAAAGGCTCATTGGACCCTCATAGCTCAAGTTTTGACCCTCACAACTACGTAGGATATTGGACGAACCAACATGTAGCAGTTGAAGGGTTCAGGGTCGCCTTTGGGCTGATATAAAACTCATGCCACGTTCGTTCACTGGCCTTGGTCCAATTCCACTCTACCAGCTATATCCCTATAAAATATATCATCAAGTGGCCTTACTAAGCCATGCCATGCAAACGGACAACGTTCGATGTCGATGTTCCCAGTTCGCCCGCCGTAGGTCTTAGAACCTTCGGTGAAGCTGCTGCCCACGGCGACGCTGGTGCTGCTGGAGACCTGTTTACCGCCCGGGCTGTGCGAAGGGACCCCCACCTGGCCCGAGTTTCTTGGGGCGCAGCGAGGCGGTGCGGAAGAAAGCTGGCGCCTTCTTGAGGGCGTTTGGTTCCAAGGGGGTCACGGGATGGAGTGCTTTCGATTGGGGGGATTTGATAGATTAGTATAATATACTTAGTAGTATGAGGTAGGTTTGTTGCTTGTGATCATGCAGGTGCTTTGTGATCGTGAACCATCGTTCAATCACCCAAGTGGCAGCCTTATTTCAAGCAGGTTGGGACTTGAAAAATCAGCAGGTCCTCTTCATAGGGATGGATCGCATGCCTTTCGGGGCGTCGTTTGGGGGATGAATTTCGGATGTTCCACGGGAAGATTCGATACGGGAGGTGCTGGATGTCTTTTCCTCCACGTTGGTGGTTCGATAGTCATGACTCTGCCAACTGGCGTGGCTTGGTGTGGCTCTATATATAACAAAACTTGGTGAAAACATGTGAAAACTTCACGTCAAAGATGGGTCATCGTTGGGACGCTAGCTTCTTTCGGTTTCATGGCAGGCAAAAACTCCAAGGAAGACTCATTGAAGACCACAGGAGTGACTTTCTTGGAGGAGGAAGCCGGCAGTTAGCCCTCAAGACTGACTGGATCAGGATCTCTCAGGATGCGGGCCCTACCACTGGCAAGAGCCACCCTAACTGCCACCCTCCACCCCAAATCCCTACTGGAGTCCCGTCCCTGGAGTCCCTCGCACGGGCCCAGGCTTCACCCGATGCTTCGACGGAAGGGCTTCGTGCTCCTGGCCACGGATGAACCCCCCAGCAGCCTCGCCGAGCCGGAGAACCTCTGCTTCGATGCGTTGTTCGCCAACCTGGCTCAGGACCGGACAGACCGGACAGACGACCGACCGAGTGGGAACCGAGTGAGCACATGGTCCGATATATCATGTGCCATCCACCCATCAAAGGACAGGATATGATAAATTACTGATCTAAACCATTCTAAACATGTGGGGGTTTGGGGCCGGGTCTGAGGTCGAAGATGTTTGGAGCCATCGCCCGGGAAGCGGTTTTTGGATACATGTGCAAATGTGGATACATCTGACATGTTGTTGTTTTTGGTGAAGGTTTCGTTTGGACACTTCAAGGATCCAATCAGCGGAGAAAAGTTTGGGGCGACCAAACACATGGACAGATCATGACAGATGTGTGAAGTGATGCTCACACGATGAACTCTTGCATGATACATGAAATAGCTACTGCAGGGAGTTTCGGTATAGGTTTATGGTTTAGCTATGTTTAGCTGCTTAAATGCCATTGTTTACCCCCAACAACCGACACCCTGCGTCAGAGGAGCCTACGGCGCCCTTAGCTGCGTTGGACATCGCCCTCGAGGAGGACCTTGTCGCCGCCTCTTCGGGCGAAAAGACCTAGCGCGAGCCATGGGTGGTTGGCATTGCCCAAGTTCCACTCTGGGTCCGATCGAGGCCCGAACCAAAAACACGGGGGGGGGTTCGTTTAGAGTTTGGATGGTTAATGTCCCATCTGACCAAATCTAAGCTATAGAAAAGAAAAGAGAAGCTGTATGGCTATGTGCAGAAGTTTCCGCCCCAGAGCTGTTGTCTCAAAGGAGGAGGGTGTTGTGTGTTTGTTTACTTGCGGAGACGCATGAAACGGCCCTATAGAAACGAAGCTTCTAAGATCTCCCATGTTTTATCAAAAAGGACCATTGAGATAGAATCTTTGGACCTTCTGACAGCCTTCGGTTCGGGCCGCACTAGCCTTTCCAAGAGATAGAAAAACCGCATAGTAACTGGAAAGATCACACCGGTGTTGGACCAACATAGTATAATATACATCCCCGTAAAGGATGAGAGCCCAGACTGACCATGGGAATTTCATGGAGGATGTATATACTTATAGAGTCTGTCCGATCTTGCCTGTAGAGCCGTCAGTAAACAAGCCTATGATCACAACAGTTTTTGGGACCAAAACACCCTGCAACCAGGCCCCAACCTAACAGCTGCAACCGCTGCAGCCAGGCCCCATCATCATCCACTGTTACAGCCTGGTCAATAGGATAGACCCAATAGGATAGACCCATTGAAGCTCCGGTGTTTCGCCCCCACCGGGCCTCACCGGGCTCCGGGCTCTGGACTCTGAGGTCGGTGAGCACGGCACCGCCGCCGCTGCGGTGGCTGCGCTGCGGGCGCAGGCGGGCTCCTTGGGCAAGGACGGCCCATTTAGATCACCAAAAAACAGGTGGGTTTTATGGGTGGATCTCACATGAAGGGTATAGTTCTTCAGGTTTTTCAATGATCAATGGTTCAAACACTGGCGGCCCATTCATATGCTAAATGGCAATATAGAGTATAAAGGGTGTTTATCATGTTTTGAATATGGTTTCATTGCCCTGCACCTGAGTACGTGAACATCCAGGAACTGCAGGATGATTTGTTCAAGGCATGTGGGTGGATGGTTTTATGCACGATGAATTTGGAATCAGGTGGAGTTGGGATGGGATGGTTTTTGAGGGATGAGGGTCATGTTCAAGTTAAGCAGCTGGATGGTTTTGTCCCCAATCTGGGAAGATGGACAAGATGAAGACAGTAATGCCAAGTTAGTGGTCAATAACTCGCAGTGACAGTTGGCAAAACATGTCAAAAGCCTGGAATTGTTCGAGTCCAGCAAGGACTCTTTGATGTTCAGGCCTATGGTATCAGATGTATCAGCAAAAAGACGACCTACAATGAAGATGGGTGTAAGCCACACTAAAAACATATAAAAGCAAGACCAATCAATTTTTGTTAGAGGAATGACCGGCTCCTGGAAGCAAGCACCCGCCTCCACACATATATCCACACATATACGCATGTTCACGCCAATAGTGATCCATGTTACTGAGGCCAAACATGACTGACTGTTGCAACTCGCAAGGACCCAGGGTGACTGGATCCTACACGAAATCTCACTTATAGAGAGGTCATTCATGGTCATTCCCTCATTTGTCTGCAATTCGCACCCTCAAAAAAAAATGTAATTTCTTCAGTCACTGGATGGGCCTTTGCCTTTTTGCTTCTTTGTCTCCACGCCGATCACTCAAGGCAGAGGCGGAAGACTCCGAGTGTGGCATGTCCCAACGCCTGGTGCGCAAGGCCCCGCCGAGCGCGTCTCGTCCGAGCCATTTGGGGAACTCCGCCGACCGACGAGTGGCAGACACTTCAGGGTTGGAAGATGGACCGCACTACAACCACCCATAAATGGTAGATGGCAGTCCCATGGAGTGTTTGGAGTGTGTTATACTGTTATACTGTTTTTTTTTCTCCGTATAAATAGTGTGGCCATACTAAGGGCTCCGGTAATTGTCAAGGCTGGGTGTTCGATCGGTGGTGCTCGCTCGGCGTGTGCGGCTCGTTCGCTGCTATTTGCAGTACATTCATTCACCTACGAGATCTTGGAAGTGCAGTTCGACTGTGCGCTCATTGTGGTGCGGTGTGGTGCGCATCTTTGGATTTCGTGGTCACTTTTTCGTGGCAGGCGCAAGGGACACCTTGTGTTTAGGTGGTGCAAAGTCGACTTTTCGTGGTTTGAGGGACACAAACACACAAAGAACAAAGACACACTTTTCAGTGAAGCTTCTTGCAGCAGTTCAACAGAATCAAGCACTAACTTGGAGGGGAAGCTGGCCCCTGAGAGTTTTGACACATTGATTTCTGATCTCGCCCCCTCTCACGTACATCGGCCCTTCTGCAAAAAGTCGTGACATCGCCCTGACGAAACGACGAACGAAACGGGTCGGTGGACCTCCAAAACGTTGTTGCGATCGTTGCCTAAAACATGTTTTGGGTGACCAGACTTTAAAAAACGTGTGCCACATAAGCATCAAAATTCACCGCCGTAGACCTCAAACACTTAAGCGCCGTAGATCCATTGGAAGGCATTTCTTTGCCAGAAGGCGGACGCAGTAGACACAAATATATAGAGGAGTCAAATTTGCTACTAAGCGTTTGCCTTCTGGCGGGACAGTGGCCACACTGGGAGACGCATGTAAAGAATTGTTGTTGAGGAGTTGCCACAAGGTGGGCACACTGGCCTACGGGGCACGACAAATGCCAAGAAGGGTTTCTAAGCAGTTGCCAGACTGGGACGCAATTGTAGAAAACCGTCCTTAAGGAGCTGCAACAAAAAGGGGGATTCAGCAGTCCAGACTGGGCGGCGAAGGTGAAGAATTCCCACACTGGGAGACACATGTAAAGAACTGCTGCTGGAAGACAAATGTCTAGAACTCTATAAGGACACACCAGCCCAGGCTGGAGACACATGTATAGAAATGTTTCTAAAGTGTTACCAGAAGGCGGACACACAATGGGCAAAAACCATCAAAGACTCGACGTCTCGGCTCATGGACCCGAACCAACTGCTACATGTTGGTTCGGTCATGTTCGGTCCAAACCTTAGTTTTGCGAGGTCAAAACCTAGCGTCCATTTTGTTGAACAAAGTGCCAGTCCTCCCAAGTCTCAGGTGCGCAGAATGATTCAAAATCGCAACAAATGTTTGGCTTGTGAATTCTGCGCCGCAAAGTGCCTCAAGCTCCTCCACCTTCATTCACCGTCCGGAGCAGCTCCGGTGCCTCCACACAGCCCCGAGCCTCTCGCACCTTCGAGTTCTTTGCTCGTTCGCGTCGAGGTCTCGGAGCTGCTGGTGATGCGCTTCCTGCCGGTGGTGGGCGCTGGCGCCTTCCTGAGACCCTCGGCAGCGACAATCGCGGCGTGCCGGCGACGTTTTTGCGGAGCGGCAGCGATGGGCGGGTATCTGGATATATCTGGATATACTATGAAATATGTTTAGATCAAGTGGCTGTGGGTCAAGACTTGCGACCTTTCTGGGGACGGTCGTTCCAATCATTTCTGGTGGGTGCAATGACCATGCAAAGACTGGGTCATCACTCACTATCTTGGGCCCTTTCTCGCATTCTTCGGACATATCTTTGGCTATGACTCAAGAATCGGATACACCCTAGCAATCCTCTCCCTTGTCAAAAGCAAACACCAACAAAACCGCGTGTCCCTGGGTCTGAATCTCTGGCGAGTGTGAGACCAAACCTCCACGCCATTTGTCCCGGCCGACATCTATTCATAATGATTCCCCATATCTCGCCACAGTCACAGCTCCAAACCGCGCAGCTCCACCGAGGCTACACCATCTACTCCCGGCTGCGCCTGGCCGCGCTGGTCGCCGAGATGAACGGCCGGGGTGCTCTGCCGGGACGAGCGTCCACGGGCCCGGTGGGTCGCAAAACAACACATGGACAACATGTCTGAAGGAAGGACTGTCAAGGACTCCACCTGGCCACCTCAATGAATAATAAATCAGTTGTTATCCCAGCAATGTGCAATAAGACCGTCCGATGAGAGGAGAAACATACCGAACCGCAGGCTGAAGGGTCACCCACGCCAGCTGAGAGGTCTTTTGATGTGTTCCTTCTTGTGGACGCCTCTCCCGAAAACGCAGGTTCTTGCGCGGGAAAACACGAACACAAGTTCTTGAAGCTTACTATGTGTAGCCTTTATAGCCATGGGCCATGTGAGATCACGAGTAGCATCACCAAGTGTCTGTTCGAGAAGTCCATAGTTTCTTCTGGAAAGCTCCTTTTTGGCAGTTAGAGTGGATCAACATGATCTCGGTGAGGTCTAGCTGCCAAGGATAGACTAGCTTCTACGAACTGGATCCTTGAATAGAATCGGATCCGAGCAGAACATCAGGTATGTAATGTAACATAAGTAACATAAACCGTTTGGTGGTCCAGATCTTGCAATTCTTGCCGCCTATTCATCCAATTGTGGTGCATCCAAAGTGGGTGTACAACAGTGGAGTACATAGAGTGGTATACGCAGTAGGATGGACAGATAGAAACAGTTCTCTACCATACTCTGCCATGCGCGTTCATCCTATTCTCCTGGGTGTGGTGGTGATGTGATTAGCATTTATAGCTAGAAGTTTGCCTGCTACTCACTCCTTTGCCTCCGAAATCTCCCACCACTGTTGGCCTCATCGCCTCGTTGAGTGCGCGACCCTTCCAGTGCAGCGGCCGAATGAGGTCACAACGCGGAAGATCCGGAAGTGCAGGTGACCCGCCGAGGGGGTCCGAGGGGCCTTGGCGGCGAAGCCCAAAAGAAGCACTTTTTGATGAAACAACGTCATTTGAGAAGCCCAATTTGGTCGTTGGAAGAGGAATCCATTTCTTGAACGAGCATCCTTTGGAAGGCAGGAGCTGGAGCTGGCTGTTGGGATGGCCATTTGCTGTCGGATAGGTGGGCCATCCCGAAGCTGGTCACTTCTCGGAAAAGTCTAATTTTGAACCAATTGGTGTCTATTCGAGAAATGTGATGAGAAAGTTTCTTGGAAGAAAGACCATCGAACGTATCGAACCCTGTCTACCCCTCCGGCTAGGGATGTTTTCATATGTTTTCCTATTTCAATTAACATTCAAAATACTTGTTCCAACAAGTGGACCACTCAGTAGAGGTTCTCCAGACGTGAAGTTTGTTCAGTTTGGGTTGGCAGGGAGGAACCGGCGAGCGAATTGAAGGAAACCCTGCGAGTTGTTTTTCTCCCATCAATGCCGGTGTTCAACGGAGTTTCAGCCGGGAATCGGTCAGTAGGACCAAGAGCTTGTATCCGTCATCAACGACTTCAAACGGAACTGTGGACTTTGATGCTTGTCGCCAGACCCAAATGAGAAAGGTATGCGTTCATCCAAGTTAATTGGAAATTGGGAGGGTGGGACGGTTGGACTGGAGGGTCCAAAATGACACGCTCATTTTCTGGCTTTTGGGCCATCCCTTTGACGATTGGAGACCAACGGGCCAACGGGCACTGCCGGGGGGGGAGCAACCGCTCTAAGTTGCTCACTTTCACAAGACTCAGACCATTCTTGGTGAGGGCGCAATGAGTCTTGAAGCAATCCAAACTGCTGGGATTTAACTTTGCCCACCAATACTCAATAGAGGGAAAATCTTGCTGGTTCTTTTGCTCAATGCTTGCAGTTTGGAGCATCTTTTTTTGTAGGGAGGGCAGGTGAAATAGATCAAACGAGCAACACACACACCAACCATCCCAGGATCCCTTGCATCCGCCAGGGCCTGCTCTTCTTCTGCATTCTCCCCGGCGGGGAGCAGTCGCCCAGCGACGCCGAGACCGAGACGGCAACGGCGTCACCGTCAGGCGTGAAGCTGAGGAGAAGCTACCTGGTCACGGCACAAAAGAACCGTTATTGGCCAAAGTCACACCCATGGGATCCCAAGGGTAACGGAATTGGTCATCTGGAACCTGGAGGTTGCAGGGTCTTCTTCTTTTGAATCACAGGCACCTGTTCCTCGTTGCGGGAGATGTTTGATGTGTGAAAGGCAGATCCACGTCGAGCCCGCAAGCAAGCAATGTGCAGCGCTCAGACAAACCGTTGCTAAGTGATCAAAACCGTCGGGCCATGCATGTTGCATGTTAAAAGCCGCTATTGCCTTGGCTATGGGCAAGAAATATGAACCCCACCGTTATGCAGATGCACACATTTGCTGCAAAAGCCCATAAACAATGAGGCAAGCAACAACATGATGATAGAATACTCACCTCAAGCAGAAGATACGTTAAAGAGATCTAAGGTCGCAAGTTGAGACATGGCAGTATAGTTTTGGAGGTCGAGAGATTATATACACTATGCACAGTAACATCAGAATGTCGGCCAGACAAGAACAACCACTGAGAATTGCAGTGAGTGAACTCCCAATGGTAGCTTGGTTTGCCACTTTCGTGGTTGGAAGGTTTTCGATTTCAACAAGCGCTATTCTTGCACCGCCAATGCAAAGCCAAAGCACATGGACGCACTTTGCTAGTGAGGCGTTTCACCATTCCAGGAGGTGTTGGCAAGTGAGCTCGCATGGCAGACTTTGCAACACCAAAGGAGTCATTTCCAATGGGTCTCTCCAAGCGGACGGGTACAAAGCTGTTCAAATCTGCAGGCAGAAGTGGTTGGTTCATCGCATTGTGAAAATTACTTTTCATGGGCTTCCAAAAAATCAGGAAGCGTGGCAAGTGCATCACGTTGATGGCAACAAAGGCAACAACTGTTTGGACAATCTGGAGTACGTAACACCTAGTGAAAACAACCGTCACTCATTCTCCTGCCCTTCAAGGCGCAGCAGCGGGCCTGCACAATCGAAGCCTGTGCTGTGGAGACCCGTCGGGTCCATGAGCTGGAGAACCAACCCTTCTGCAGCAGCTCTAGCTGAGCAGCTGGGCATGTGCAAATACACAGTCGCAAAACGTTGTCGCAAGGAGTCTTCAGCAAAGGGCTATGAGTTCCGTTACCAAGACCAAGATCTGAGTGTGCTTGCTTTGCCTGGAGAAGAATGGCGACCGATGGTCGATCCCAGGTCAGGTGAACAAGTGTCAGGAAGGATGGTAAGTTCTTTTGGTCGAATACGATCGCAGACCGGTTTGATAGGTAAAGGGACTTTGACTGCAGAGGGGTACTATAGAACTGCCGTGAAAGGTGGCTTATGCTACCGGAATGTGTACGTTCATCGCCTCATTGCCTTTGTTTTTGTGGGGCCACCGGCTTCTGTTCATCAGACCTGTGTGAACCACAAAGACCTGGACAAAGGCAACAACGCAGTAGAGAACCTCGAGTGGGTCTCTCCTGCAGAAAACCAGGTTCATTTTTATGCATCATCCACCCCTGGGCGTGGAACCACAGTAAAGGCTGTTTGGAGCCGTTTGCATGGAACTGATGATGAGTGGAGGTGGCATCGCTCCATGGCAAGCGCAGCACGTGAACTTGGTCTGGAACCCAAATATATCTCCAACTGCACGCGGGGTCTACAGCGGAAGACTGGTGGATTTGAATTCCGACTGGCAGACACACCAGCAGAGACGAGCTTTTCGCTTCCAGGTGAAGAGTGGCGACAAATCAACAAGCTTTTGCTCCAAAGAGACAGAGAACTCCGTGGGCTTTGTTGACCGTTACATGGTGGAGCAAAATGAGGTAGTCAGCTGGTGTGCAAGCCTACAATGACTTGGTTTGCCGAACGAATGCAACACTCTGGACCAAGCAAAACCTCACATGACGTTGTTTTCAAGGATTGGGGTGGTTATCATGCGGACCGGAGACCTAGGAGCTCCGTGACTTGAAGCCTTCTTCGACTTGCTGGACAATGTTTCACCCAGCTGCTTGTACGCGAACTTGTTTGAGTGCCGGCAGCAAGATTGTTCGGTTGAGATTGCCGATTGTACAGGGTGTGGGGGTCCTGTTGTTCGGCACTAATCATTCGGCCGGTTGATCCTGGGTTGGCCTCCCTGGTAGTCTAGTTTGTTCATTCTCTTTGGTCAATCAGGGTTTCCCGGCTTTTGCTCACAGCCATTTAGTACTGTGCAGCTTGGACAGGGGTGCAAGGTCCAAAGTCGACGCCTGACATTCTACAGAACGGTTGCTCGGATCTTTTGTCAGTATATGCGATAGGCTTTGGGACCCGGACTTACTGGATATACGTACATACTTTCTCTCTTGGAAGTCTCATCGGCTGAAGACTTAGACTAGAACCACAGTTGCCAGGGTAATTTGTCGTGCGCAAACTGTTTGCTTTGCGCCCAAGGGTTGTTTAAGTGCTAGAGAAACATGTAATGTGCTTAGAGGTGTCTCTTAATTGGATGACTGCTTTGTCCGCGTCGAATTGGAAGTTCAGGGTCATCAGGTAGAACCAAGCGATGTGCGGTGCTTATGGAGAAGGAATACCCCCCACCCCAGAGTCTATAGTTCAACCCACTAACAACTGATTCGTGCCCAAAGCTAACTTGGTGGAACTTGGCCAACACCAGTTCTGGCTTCCACCTGGCAAAGCATGCGACAGCAATTGAAGGGTTGACCTTGGTGGTGCTGAGGTGAACTTGAAAGAACTGAAAGAACATAGAGTCTCAAGACAGCCTCAGGTAATCAAAGACCCATTTGTTTTGCGGACAATACGCTAGGAAGACCACTTAGGTTTGTGGCATCGTGGGCATGTTTAGTGAATGTAGTTTTGACGTGTTTGCCCAGAACAAACATTGCTTTTTCAACCATTGTGCCAGCGTTCGCATTCAGTAAGTGACGCCTTTGTATAGATATGAGTAACTAATGTAGACACCTCTGGCACAGTGCCAATGCTGACAAGATGGCTACCATCATGTGGATTGTTCCGCAGCTGGCCAGTGACTTTTTGCCGATCAGTCGTGTGAAGTGCACAAAGGTTGCTGGCAGGTGAGCTCGCATGGCAGACTTTGCAACACCAAAGGAGTCGTTTCGAGGGGGTCTCTTGATTGTAGTGGCTACAGGCGTGTCGACATTTTTGGAAAGGCCTTCAAGGTCCATCGCGTGGTCAAGATTGCTTTTCATGGGCTTCCAAGAAGTGATGAAGCCTGGCAAGTGCATCACATTGATGGCAACAAAGGCAACAACCGCTTGGAGAACTTGGAGTACGTAACACCCAGCGAAAATGTTTGTCGCTCGTACTCCAGCCCTTCTAGGCGTGATGCTGGGCTTGCACAGTCCAAGCCAGTGCTGTGGAGACCTGTCGGGTCCACGAGCTGGAGAACAACCCCTTCTGTCGCAGCTGCAGCATGGCAGCTTGCGATAGACAAAGGGACATTGTCGGTATGTTGTCGCAAGAGGTCAGCAGCAAAAGGCTATGAACTCATGTACCAAGACGTCAGCGAACTAACTTGCTTTGCCTGGAGAAGAATGGCGACCCATGGTTGATCCCAGGTCAGGTGAGCAAGTGGTCAGGAGGATGGTAAGTTCTTTTGGTCGAATAACATCGCAGACCGGGTTGATAGGTAGAGGGTTTTTGACGGCCCAGGGCTACTATAGAACTGCACTAACTGCACATATGTTCAACTCACGCTGCAAAAAACGCTTGTCCATCGCCTGTGGCTTTTGCTTTCCTTGGGCGTCCGCCCACTGTGAGTCAAACCTTTGTAAACCACAAAGACCTGGACAAAGGAAACAATGCAGTGGGTAACCTGGAATGGGTCACTCCAGCAGAAAACCGAGCTCATTTTCATGCAGTACAGTACCCTGGCACGTGGTACCACAGCGAAGCCTCTTTGGAGCCCATTGCTTGGAACGGATGATGAGTGGAGGTGGCATCGCTCCATAGCAAGTGCAGCGGGTGAATTTGGTTTTGCCAGCACCAGGATTTCTCAGTGCGCTCGGGGATTGCAGCGGGAAGCAGGTGGATTTGATTTGAGTTCCGACTGGCGGACACGTCAGACAGTGCTGTTTTGCTTCCTGGTGAAGAGTGGTGGGATGTCAACGAGCGCTTGCTCCAAAGAGACAGAGAATTCCGCGGGCTTTGTTGACCGTTACGTGGTGGAAACAACTGAGGCAATATCAGCTGGTTTGCAAGCTTTCAATGACTTGGTTGTGTGGAACGAAGGCAACACTCTGGACCAAGCAATTCCTTTTAACCTGTTGGCAACTTGCGAGGCCACAAGAACTCATTGGCTGACAAATATCTCATGGTGACACGGTGAACACTTTTTTTTGATGATTTTTGCAATTCCCCTTAATCCTAGCTTGGTTCCAATACGTCAACGGAGGCTTAGGTGCCGGGCCTTGTTTGGTCCAACCGACGACTGCAACTGCTTGGAAAAAAAGTCTCGCGATGAAGAGTTGGTATGACCCACCAGGCTGTGCAAATAAGTTGTGTGTGTGTGGAGTACATTCCTCTCGTTTGTTTTCGGAGGTGCGTGTTCATTTGCAGGAGAATTGTTAAACTCAACTTGCCTTTCAATTTGAGGTCACAGGTTTGCAATTTCTTGAACATGGTTTTGAGGACTGGCCCGCGGGGTGTCATTGTTCCGAAGGCCAACAAGGCACGCTTGGGGCAACCTGCCTCGAATTCGTACAAAATCAGAATCGAAGACCTTTCTTCAAAAGAGGGCAGGTTCCATGTTCATGTTTCTTTGTTTAGTGAGCATGCACATCCACCGTTTTCCAGATATTGTATAACAAGCAAGCTCACATGACCGTGTTTTTCCAGTCAATTGGTGCCCCGGTATATTTATCACACTTTGTATGTCTATTTTTATATGATGTGATGATAGGTCTCTAAGGACTAAGGACTACTGGTTGCTTCGAAGCCAAGAAATTGTAGCCAGCACATTTTACTGCAATGGGGTCGATGTAGAGGGCGCAAAGGTTGTTGATCGGTTTTGATTCGAATCCACTTAATGTATCAAATGTTTTTATGCTTTGGTTATCACCATGTTCTTGCAAGTCGCCATAGATGATAACTGTGCAAAAGGATTCAATGGGATTCTCAACCTGCTTTGGTGATCCTCCCTTCGGGGCATCAGGCTAGGTTCATTAAAGGCATTCAAAGGCTGGTCTCGGTAGGGGGAAGTCTGAGAGGGCACTCAAACATTCGAGCTGGGTTGCAAGGCTCAAGGTCAAAAACCTCACTTCAAGGTGTGCCATGTGAGGCGAAAAGCATGTGCAGATCAGCGCGTTTTGATTCGACCATTCAGCAAGTGTGTCTTATTGAACTTCTACACCGTACCTTCCAACTCAAGAACAACATGTTCTAGATTCATTGCAACAGGAAAAAGCTGTACTTTCACTGCTGCATGGAGAAGATGCAGACATATATGTGACATGGCCACTAGTCCGTGCTTCTTGATGGCTTGTGTATCACCTGGTGTTTGGCACCGATCGGCGACTGCGTTCCAGCACTTTGCCAGCCAGTCGCTTCAACCCTCACTTGGGTGTTGGCACGTGAGCTCACATGGCCGAGTCTGTAACTCTAAGGGAGTCATTTCCAATGGAACCCTCCGTCCAGATGGCTATATGGCTGCTGGAGTGTTTCAACAGACGTGGCTAGTTCACCGTGTGGTCAAGATTGCCTTCCATGGACTTCCAACCATTGACGACGCCTGGCGAGTACACCACATAGATGGTGACCGAGCCAACAACCGCTTGGAGAACTTGGAGTACGTAACACACAGCGAAAACATGCACCACTCATTCTCCAGCCCTTCAAGGCGCAGCAGTGGGCCTGCACAATCGAAGCCTGTGCTGTGGAGACCTGTCGGGTCCATAAGCTGGAGAACAAGCCCTTCTGTCACAGCTGCAGCCTGGCACCTTGCCATGCACAAATCTACGGTGTCAGCATGTTGCCGCAAGGAGTCTGCAGCAAAGGGCTACGAGTTTAGGTACCAAGACGTCAGGGAACTGGTTTTGCCTGGAGAAGAATGGCGGCCCATGGTTGATCCCAGGTCGGGTATCTCAGTTGCCGGAAGGATGGTGAGCTCTTTTGGCCGCATAACGTCGCGGACAGGATTGATTAGCAGAGGGTATCAAACGAGCAGCGGGTATTTTAGAACAGCACTTTTGTTCAACTCACACTGCAGGAGTAGTACATTTGTCCATCGCCTGGCTGCTTTGGCTTTCCTTGGGCCACCGCCTTCTATTTATCAAACGTTTGTGAACCACAAAGATCTGGACAAAGGCAACAACGCAGCGGAGAACCTGGAATGGGTTTCTCCAGGAGAAAACCTTGCTCACTTTCATGCAGCTTCAACCCTTGGACGTGGTACCACAGCGAAGCCTCTTTGGAGCCGCCTGCATGGAACGGATGATAAGTGGAAGTGTCATCGCTCCATGAAAAGTGCTGCGCATGAACTTTGTTTAGATCGAACATGTATCTCCAAGTGCACGCGCGGTGTGCAGCGGCAAACTGGTGGATTTGAATTCCAACTGGCAGAAACACCAGCAGAGACAAGCTTTTCGCTTCCTGGTGAAGAGTGGCGACAAATCAACAAGCGGTTGCTCCAAAGAGACAGAGAACTCCGTGGGCTTTGTTGACCATTACATGGTGGAGCAAAATGAAGTAGTCAGCTGGTTGGCAAGCTTTCAATGACTTGGTTGAGGAACGAAGGCGGCACTCTAACGAGACCTCATGTGACGTTTTCCAGGATTTGGGTGGTTATCCTATTTGGATCAAATCTAGGCTGAACATGCTGACCGAAGGCCTCCGAGACTTGAGTCCTTCTGCTGTTTGCTGGAAAATGTTTCAATTAGCTGCTTGTACGCCAACATCTTTGAGCAATTTTGATCGGGGGAGATTGCCGATTCTAAAGCGGCGTGTGGGGGTCCACTAACGACTTGGCTGTGGGTCAAAGCAAGGAGCCTGGTTGACCCTGGGTTGACCTCCCTGCTAGTCTAGTTTGTTCAGTCTCTTTGGTCAATCAGGGTTTCCCGATTTTGGCCCAGGGCCCACAGTCATTTAGCTGGTGTGCAGCTCGGACAGGGGTACAAGGTCCAAAGTCGACACCTGACATTCTACAAAACGGGTTGCTCGGATTTTTTTGTCAGTATATATATGTGATAGGTTTTGGTACCCGGACTTACTGGATATACGTACATACTTTCTCCCTTGGAAGTCTTATCGGCTGAAAACTTAGAGACTAGAACCACAGTTGCTATAGTAATTTGTCGTGCGCAAACTCGCTAAAGGGTTGTTTAAGTGTTAGAGAAACATGTAATGTGCTTAGAGGTGTCTCTTAATTGGATGGCTGCTTTGTCCGCGTCGAATTGGAAGTTCAGGGTCATCAGGTAGAACCAAGCGATGTGCGGTGCTTATGGAAAAGGATAACCACCCACCCCAGAGCCTCCAGCTCAACCCACGAACCACTGATTCGTGACTCAAAGTTAACTTGGTGGAACTGGCCAACACCAGTCCTGGCTTCCACCTTTGCTGCATGTGACAGCAATTGAAGGGTTGACCTGGGGGTGCTGAGGTGAACTTCAAAGAACTGAAAGAACATAGAGTCTCAAGACAGCCTCAGGTATTCAAAGACCCTTTTGATCCCTTTTGTTTTGCAGACAAAACGCTAGGAAGACCACTTGGTTTGGAGTTGCTGCTGCGGGGGTGAGAGAAGGCTCCTTGCTGTCTTGCCATGAACATACTTATGTTTCTGGCATCTTGGCTGATATAGACAATTTAGTCCTGACGTGTTTGCCTATAGAACAAACGCAAGGGTTTTTCAACCATTATGCCAGCGTTCGCATTCAGTAAGTGACGCCTTTGTATAGATATGAGTAACTAATGTAGACACCTCTGGCACAGTGCCAATGCTGACAAGATGGCTACCATCATGTGGATTGTTCCACAGCTGGCCAGTTGCTCTGCGACTTTTTGCCGATCAGTCGTGTGAAGTGCACAAAGGTTGCTGGCAGGTGAGCTCGCATGGCAGACTTTGCAACACCAAAGGAGTCGTTTCGAGGGGGTCTCTTGATTGTAGTGGCTACAGGCGTGTCGACATTTTTGGAAAGGCCTTCAAGGTCCATCGCGTGGTCAAGATTGCTTTTCATGGGTTTCCAAGAAGTGATGAAGCCTGGCAAGTGCATCACATTGATGGCAACAAAGGCAACAACCGCTTGGACAATCTGGAGTACGTAACACCCAGCGAAAATGTTTGTCGCTCGTACTCCAGCCCTTCTAGGCGTGATGCTGGGCTTGCACAGTCCAAGCCAGTGCTGTGGAGACCTGTCGGGTCCACGAGCTGGAGAACGATCCCTTCTGTCGCAGCTGCAGCACGGCAGCTTGGGATAGACAAAGGGACATTGTCGGTATGCTGTCGCAAGAAGTCTGCAGCAAAAGGCTATGAGTTTAGGTACCAAGACGTCAGCGAACTTGCCTTGCCTGGAGAAGAATGGCGGCCCATGGTTGATCCCAGTTCGGGTGCTTTTGTGCCAGGACGGATGGTGAGCTCTTCTGGCCGCATAACATCGCGGACTGGATTGATCAGCAGAGGGTATCAAACAAGCAGCGGATATTTTTCAACATCACTGGTGTTCAACTCAAGCCGCTGGGGTACACTTGTCCATCGCCTGGTGGCCTTTGCTTTTCTTGGATCACCGCCATCTGATGGTGAAAGCTGCGTGAACCACAAAGATCTTGACAAAGGGAACAACGCTGTCGAGAACCTGGAATGGGTCTCGCAGGCACAAAACCTCACTCACTTTTACGCGTCAGCAACTCTTGGTCGTGGGACTGCAGCAAAACCTGTTTTGAGCCGACCTCATGGAACCATTGGCTGGTGGAGGTGGCATCACTCCATGACAAGTGCAGCGCATGAACTTGCTCTTAGTAGACATAGCATTTCTTCGATTTCTCGATGTGTCCGTGGGCTGCAGAAGCAAGCCAGTGGCTTCGAGTTCCAATTTGCTGAGGCACCGGAGATTGTTTCATCGGTCCCGGGCGAAGAGTGGCGCGCAGTCGACGTGCTCTTGCTGCAAAGAGACAAGGAAATCCGTCATATCCAAAATTGATGACGTGCCAGAAGGTGCTCAGTCTTCGTCCAGTTTTCAACTGAAAAGATTGAAGTGGGGCTCTCACAATTATTCTGTCAGACAGAAGAAAAGCAAACCCAGTCTTGAAGTGGAAGAATGGCCCCTCAAAGTAAGTTTGACGACGTGGAAGTGGTGTGCTCAATTGAGGGTGTCCTACAAGTAGATTGATTAATGGACCAGTTCTCAATTAGGTACATTTGTATACACGTCAATGACCTTTACCGTGCTCCTAGTTCTGTGTGCTCCAAGGTTTTGGACAGGAATGTTCATGCAAGGACATGCTAAAAGAAGATAACTTGTGTGTCATTTGGTTTGCCCTCAACCACAGCCATTCCATATCAATCCTCAAGACAGAAGATTTGCATCATATGTGCCCCTACAGTGATGGTGGTACCCTATTTCGACATACCAACCACGCAGGGACGAACATTGCGCGTTGTCCTTCAGTGGTTGACAATTCGATTGTTGGTGGATGGGCAAACCACAAACCTGGTGAGATAGCAAGAAGATCAGGAGCTCCATGTCATTGCAAGTGATTGCATCAGCTGGGCACAAACACCAAACTCTTCCTAGGTCAAACAAAAAGATGGCAACTGGTCGAACCATACCAATAGCTCTCCTGCTGCCTTGTCAACTTGTTTGTTTTTTCTCCTTTTACGTTCTCCCTCCTTCTCCGTTTTTCTTGGCCACTTCTTCGAAGGCGCGTGTGTTTTCTTGGACCGCGAAACAACCGCAGCAACACCATCCTCTTCGTCGGAACGTCACCACCATTCACCCGTGGCCGCGGCTCGGCAGGTCGATCGAAGCCGGTGGCCCTCCGGGCGGCCCGGGGCCTGGGCCACGGCCTGGCGCGGCAGGCGGGGAAATCAGCAGGGGATAGGTTGGAGAGAAGAAGGGTCATGGTTTCGAAAGAGTTTGCACAAGGAGAGTGTGTATGACAGGGGCGTGGCTAGCGAGTTGTTCTTCTCCCAGGCAGCTCATCGAAATCAAACATGATTGTGTGATGGTAGTGTACAGCAGTAGTTTGTTCGATATTACGCCCAGTCCGGTGTTGTCATGTTTGGGATGACTGTGTCAGTGAACGCTTGGAAGGGGAACTTGAATGGAAAAACGACCACATCAGGATCTTCAGGCAACGACTCGTCGTGGCTTTGTTGTCTTCACAGCATCAAGTGGATGAAGGCGACATGCATGGTGTTGCTCAATTGGGGTGATGTTAATATTCCCTTTTGGGTAAACCCCTGTTGGAGAAGACTTTAGATTGTTCCTGGTTCCTGAAGCAAATCCAAGTATGGGGTCTGATGTCTAACCACTTGCTACAATTGACGAAGGACGACGTGTTGGTCTCTCTGAGGCGTGTGTTTGTCACAACTCTGTCTTGATCAGGGCCGGGCGGACCATACCGGTCCCCGCTTCGAGCCAAAGGTGCTGGAATCTTGGAAGTGCCAATATATGTTTTCATTGTTTATCAATCCTTAGAACATCAAAGGCCTTCTTGCCCTAATTAGTTCGATTGCTTTGTGTTTAACAATAATACCCTCAAAGTTGTGGTTTGGTCAGCTTTCTTGGACTTTCTTGGTCAAATGTTCACCAATTTCCAAAGATCACAGGTGTCATTCCACCTGGAACATTCAAGAGTTGCAGAAAAGATCAAGAACCCAGCAAACACCACCCTCCAATCCCTCTTCCAATCAGACCTTGAAGCCTCAGCTTTCATCCACAAAGATGAAACTCTCTTCCATCAACCCATCAATCTCTCTTTCATCCACAAAGACCAAACAAAAACATGTGACTTGCTTTCTATGTGGGAAGAAAAAGCCTTTGGCCTTTCACGTCGACCGCGGCAAGCCGCTCGGTGGAAGCTGCCGGTCTCCTGCACCGAGCCCCTCGGAGGTGCTTCAGAGGTCCACCGGCTGGCGCTCGGCCTCGGTCCGGGGGACCTAATTGAGTTGAGCAGGGCTCGGTCTACCGGTTATGATGTGTTTTATGAAAGACAGAAAGATTTGAGGAAGCAAGAAATAAATTTTAGATTTTGAATGAAATGGATAATGAGGTTACGTCAATATCCTGAATCCTCAGAAGGGGGAATGCTGACATCTGGCGCATGACCATCCATTAAGCGTGCAGTGCTACTTTTCACTGAGGTTCACGACATGCCGTCATTCCCGGCCTTTTGCCATCCATCCACGGCCATGCATGGGTAGACTGGTCCAGTTTCCTCCTTTCAGGAATTGCGAACTGGGGAGATCTCCCAAATTTCGAATATGTTTGAATCAACACCACCCACATATGAAGGTAACTTTTCGGCCACACCACGTGAAGGTCCAGAAGTGAACCCACTTCTTCGCTCCGTTCGGCAAACGACGACGAACCACCAGCCAACGGCCGAGGACCTCTATGACCTGGCGGCCGCCATTTGCTCGGAGCGTGAACCGGGAGAGGCCCCAAGTGGCCCAGGGGCTCGTGGTCGGCAGGGGCCGGGTGCTGTTGGAGATCCGGTGGTGATTGATTTTGGATGAAATGAGGTGGATGGGTGACCTGAAACGCCAGGCGTGCAGGTGTTAGAATCCAGATCTATTATATATCGCATATGAGGTGAGGTCCTAAACACTGTATCAAGGCTATGGTTTGTCTCTTATTTTGAATGATGTTGAATTCCTCATAGTCTTGTTTCAAGTTCAGAACTTGGTCCCATCATCCGTGGAAGATGCGGCCTGCCAGTGTTTGCGAGGCCTGCGGGCCTCAAACATGCACCGTGCAGAGGCCGAGAAGCGTCAAAAAGGGACGCCGGGAGATGCCACTAGGTGTTTTGCTGGTTTAGAATGTGTTGCAGTCTCTTGTTTTTGTTGGGAATGGTCACCCCAATGGCTTGAATGGATTTGAATGGACTGCCCCATTAAATTGACCAGTTTTTTGAGTGGTTTGCCAACCTGGTGTGAGATGCTTGAAATTGCCGTGCATGGCGTAGATTGGAAATGAACGGAATTTGAGCTGTTTCTTGCCAAAGAAGACATGCTCACGGCTCACATGCAAATGACCAATCATGTGGTCACGCCTCCTGTGGTCCCGCTCCACCAGACGGATGGTTGAAAAAGTGATGCCGCTCAAAGGACCCTCGCTTGTGGACGTTGGTGATGGGAGCAGGTACTGTAATCGAAGTCAGGGGCCCGATCTAAGCCATTCGCAAAAAGGCATGGTGATTGCGGACGAAACATACATTCAACATCATCGCTGGGTCATTTGCAACCACATCATTGCCTAAGGCCTAAGGGTCCATCACCCAAATCGACAGACTGGTGATGACTCCATGTCTACAGCAGTTTCATCCGAAACACTCTCCAAAACGCCTCCCTCCACGCCACCGGATCCCACGTGCTCCGTGGCAATTCCCAGGGCTCAGCTGCTGTTCCAAGTGTCGAAGACACGACACCCCGCTGGGGGCGCTCAGAGCGTGCATGTGGAGCACGGCCTGGGGCCGTGCAACTGCTGGTCTTTTTCTGGGCTGTCCTGTAGTGATTGCTTTTTAACCATGATCTCAATTAGACGAGGCAATCCACAGAGATTGGGCGATTCCCCCACTCATCCATGACTTAACCCTTATGAAATGGGGATCCTGTTCCTCTACAGAATGGGTTATGAGGGCCCACTTCATAAAGGGTGGGACTTAGGAATAGAGGATTTTCGTAAGATGCCCAGGTTGGCAGGTCATTCGATTAAAAAACATAACGGTATGGAGTCACATCAAGAGTGTGAGCACAGAAAAGCATCCATGTGGATTGCGGCTACAGTCATTTCATAAACACGGCCTGTTTGGTTTAGAGCAAGCTCTTTGTTGGAGGTGCAGACCTGCAGACCTGGTTAAGTATATGATGCCATGATATTAGATCTTGTGTGTTTGGTTATGTCACGCTTATGTCATGTTGTAAAACTCCTGTGCTTGGTCTCTCCTCCAGATTGTTGCCTGACTTTTTTCCAGATGCTGGTTAGGCCATTTCACAAAAAGGTCGGTAACTCAATATATAAACAGCTATATAGACGACGAGTGGCCCGAAAGCAATTTTCACCACGTGTGAAGTTAGAATGCGAGTTGTGTGTTAAGTGTTACTGTAAGTCTAGTGTGTTGAGTAAGTGTGTGGGCCTCTGTGTGTGTGTGTCTATGTGTGTATCTATGTCTGTGTGCGTATGTGTCTCTCTCTCTCTCTCTGTATGTCTTTCTCTATATATCTCTCTCGAAAAGTAAGTGTCGTTTACATAGAAAGCCCACATGCTTAAAAGAAACGCGCAGGAACACCTTTTTTCTGCAAGCTTTTGACCTCTCGCAAGCCACCGACATTTGGGTAGCGCTGCGTCCACACCTGAAGGAACTTTCGCAGAACAAACAATGTGAGAACGCAAAAGACAAAAGTTCTGAGCCAGGTACGCAACAGGTAGGTTTCGCTAACTAATGACCTGCGAAATCATGAAATATATACATCAGCTTTTCCACGAAATATAACCAGAGGTCACACATTCTTCGCTCGAGATAATGAAAAACGTCCTAAAGTAGTTACCCACCAGTATATGCTTGTGCAACATTTGTCGATCAACTCTCAAAAACAAAAAACCTCCACATCAAAGATCGAAACGTCGCAAAGATTCCAGCGCCGAAGACCGGTGAGTGGACCAGGTTGGGAGGCCAGACAGTAAGCTTGAACCTCGACATACAGTGGTTGGTTAACTACATCTAGAGTGAAGAAAACGTTACCTTTAGAGCCCTGTGGCTGCCATGCATATGTGCAACCAGACTGTGCATTTTGCATAGCTTACCTTTTGGTGCTCAAAGTGAGATTGCAGAAATCTCCATACAACTTGGGCCAGCTACCACCAGATCTTTGCCAGGAACTGAGGCAACTCAACAGCAATGAAGAATGTACTTGCAACAAGTTTAAACACACCCCACAAGCTTTTGCAATATTCATTTCATTTCCTACATGAAACTTTACAAGGCAAACAGAACCTTCTTATGGCTATGCATGTGTTGAGCCTCATTTACCACTGCTGAAAAAACAGTTTACCAATTTGCAGCCCACTTGCTCCCAGGTCTGCCTTTTCTCCCAGCCATCATGCCAGGGAACCTTGGCGTTGTTGATGACCACTTCTTCACCATCAGCAATGAAGACCAGAGAGAGGTGTGCCTCACATGGTCCTATGGAAGCAGGACATACCATCCTGACCAGCCAGAGATCATCCATGAAAGATTGCCAAACCAGTCTATAGTAACCAGAGACTGGGTTGCCCATGGGGAAACCTGGCAGTTTTGGAGAGTTGTCAAGCGGTCCAATGGATGGGAAGACTGGGTGAGGAACAACAGCCAAAACTTCACAGATGCCTACACCATCCAGATATGCTTCGGGTCCAAGCAATAGGCCCAGACCATGCTGGCAAAGACCATGCTGCCAAACCAGGCAAAGACCCTGAATGGAGGTGAAAAAGGGCATATCTATGGTTGGGAAAGACACCTGGACGAGAGTACTGACGAGAGTGTATCGTGCATGTGGATGGAAACCTTTGAAGCAGTCAAGAAGGTAGAGGGTTGGTCTCGCTTTGCTTGGCTTCTGGTTGCACACTTGTTACACCCTGCTTGTCGTCTGAGTTTGCGTGCGCGGCACAATCCGGTGACCGTTTTGGAGTCGAGATTGGACCGCAGTGGTATAGCCCAGGAGGTGGTTGCTCTGCACGATGACTTGTTGGCTTGGCAAGATCTCCAGTTTGCCCGAGAAAGACTTGGCCAACATAATTGGCCAAATATTTCACCAGCAGGACGGCGCATGTGAGGGCCCTCCAGAAAGCCTATCCTGCAGGCTTTGCACCGCTGCCTGGTTACAGAGTTGAATGCTTGTCTTTGGAAGGCGATGCCTTGTGTGGTGTGCTCTGGCGGTCTGCAGCTGAACGTGCTCTGATGTTTTCGATCCCTGGATGGAGAGAAGAGGGCAAGGGCAAGGAGGAGTTTCATCCTTTGCAGGATTTCTGTAAGCATTGGTTTCCAGAAGCAGAAGAGATGGAGTGTCTTGATTTGTTGGAAAACACTCAGCGCCCTCTAGCTTGGAAGCTCGAGCAAGTCGCCAGACGATTGGACTGTTCTCCCACTGTCTCCGGTGTGCAAGAAGCCTTAGCCAAGCGCTTACTGCGACCCTTTCCTGATGATGCAGGTGAATGCCTACAGAATTTTGCTGTAGATTTTGCCCTGCCGACTTCACAGGTGCAAAGTCCTTCGAGGAGCGCATTGCCAGGAGCACGCTTGTGTCGGCCTGCAAGATACTCCTCAGATGCTGGTAGATTATGCCGCTCACCAGCGACACGCCGCATTTACGCCAGCAAGTTTTGCACTCCCCAGTGCCACGGCCCCACGCGAACGCACTTCCCACCAAGGCCGCACAAATCCCAATGGCACTGCGACATCACGAACGTACTTTGGCCACACGGTCTATCCACACACTAGCAAACATATCACATGCGCGTTTCGTGCGAGACTTCCTCCAAAAGTGCAGCGGCAAGTCTCCAAAACGAGCGTTTCGTACGAGATTTCCTCCAAAAGTGAAGCGGCAAGTCTCCAAAACGCACTCTCGCCTGCATTTCGCCCTCGACACGCACGATCTCCGCAGAGGGTTGCGTCGGAACCGGGCAAATCGCACTCTCGCCCGCATCTCGCGCACTCGACACGCACGATCTCCGCAAAGGGTTGCGCCGGAACCGGACAAAGCGCACTCTCGCCTGCATTTCGTGCACTCGACGCACGATCTGCGCAGAGGGTTGCGCGCACACCGGACAAATCGCACTCTCGCCTGCATTTCGTGCACTCGACACGCACAATCTCCGCAGAGGCTTGCGCGCGCACCGACAGAATCGCACTGCCATTCGCGCGCTCGACACGCACGATCTCCCCAGAGGGTTGCGCGCACACCGACAGAGTTGCACTCTCGCCTGGAATCCACTTTCATGTGACTTGGTTGTTTCACCAGACTTGGTTTCCAACTATTGGCTGATGTTGTCAGTGCCCAGTTGATTGTCAGCACTCATGGCACTCATGGCAACATAAGTTGATTGTCAGCACTCATGGCAATCGTGGCAACTTGAGTTGATTGTCAGCATTGCGACAGAAATCAAATTTTCTGAAACTGTGAAAGAGGCTCGTTGTAACTCCCAACTAGCTGCCGGCGTTAGGGTGGAGATCACTCGAAGTTTACCTTGTATAACGGTGGAGATCACTCGAAGTTCATGTTGTTTACAGTATATGTTTTTGGTAAATGTCGAAACCAAGCATTCAATTGTTGATATGGGTTGCTGAGTCGCAGCGCTGTTTCGTGCTTTCTCGCCCGTTCCCTTTCAGCGTGGCGTTTTTGAGATCTGTGATTGGTCACTGCACTCAGTGGCTTTGGAGCAGTAGCTCACAGCCATGCCAGCTAAGCGCCCGGCCGCTTGCAAGCGCCCAGCTGCTGCAAAAGCGGGTGTGACAGCCAAAGCGCTTGACCAACCAAGCGCTAAGAGTGCCAAGGCAAGTTCCAGCAAGAAGCGGCCAGCTTCCACGCAAGACCCTGACGAGATTTTTGAAGAAAGCGATGTGGGGTCGTAGCTTGTCATCAGAAGTGTGGGGATGTGTGATGGTTTATTTTTTTAAGATTCGACTCCTGACAGCTGACGCTGACTGGATCATTGATCGTTTTTAGACGAGGCCTGCGAATGCCATGGATGACAATGATGGGGGCGGTGAATTGCCCCGGGAGTCTGACATTTTTCCAGAGAGCGACGATGAAGATGCCAATAGTGTGGATGCGTCCTTGCAGCACCCGCCGGCCATTTGCGCTATAGGGGTCGGAGGTTGTGAAATTGTTCAGTTCGTGTTACATGCGTTTCAATATATAATATTTGTCACCATTTTTCGATCATATTGGGGAGTTAGCAGAAACCCGCGTGCAGGTGGACAATATGGTTCACGGCTGGTGCCAGCTCAAAGGCTTGGCCGAGGATCTCGCCTTTTCTTTGCAGTACTTGGGCCGTGGGGAATCAACTATCTCAGCCGCCTCAATTTGCACGGGCTGGGGCGTTGCTGACATGGTAATTGATGCTGTGAACAGTGCCATGTCCCGCCACGCAGAGACGACGCGGATCAACCCGATCCCAGAGGCAGGTTCTTTTCCGGTGTTTGAGGGTGAACGAGGGGTGGCAGTCCGTGGTCTTGTCAGGGGTGAAAGAGGTAAACCCTCCGTGGTCCAAACCCATCCGGCTCAAGCTGCTACGACCATAGGTAAAACTTTATGAGTTGTCCTTCGAGAATGACCAATTGCCAAATCCATATATTGTATGTATAACACCCTTTGATAGGAACTTTGACATGCACTGTCATGATGGCCTGGCGCCATGGGGAGAAAGCAGACCAGGGCAAGGCTTGAGACCTTG